AGTGTTCCTTGTTCTGTGTGTGCAGGGGGGAGGGGAATAGGCCTGTATATTAAGAAACATGCAATAAATGCATATAAAAGTTATACATTTCACATTTGCACTGTAATTGTTTTTCTCTAAAGTAAATTTGGACAACAGTTTTTTATAAATGTCAAATATGTGTAAACAGATGATAATTATTCAATAAGCTAGGGGCCACAACAGTGACCTATTAGAATCAGGGTCAGAATCAGGACCAAGACTTTGTTCACAGTGTTCAAATACATTTCTAAAACCTGTGTCATCTCGTGTAGCTAAACCACTCAGTTGCTTTCCAGGCTGAAAACAAACTCAAAACAGTACTTCATTAGAGCACAGTCAAACAGTACCAACATATAGATCTTAATCACTGTAGTGCAGTATTTCATAACCTCCTTTCCAAAAACACTTTATGGTTCATGCCCAAGTCTGCAGTTTTCAGCAAGACATAGCAGCATCAGACTAACAACAGTCCACTATAACTCATTCAGTTGTACAGATCTTTGTCTGTGTGTCAGCCTCACTCACTCACTCTTTTTTAATCTTTATCTGATGTGACAAAGACAAAAAGGATGTTTTTATTCTATGCTATTCAATTGAGTTATATTGTATATCAAACTGCATCTCTCATCAAAATCCTTCTATGATATATAACCTTTTCAAGTGTCAGACATGAATTCAAAGCTACATATAAGTGGCATTATTGCAGATTTTATGTAAGCATCAGTGACATTTGTTCTCAAGTTTTATAAATGATGTTTTTTAAACTGACTTTAAACTGTTGAATATGTTTATGTTGTGCAAATGTTGAGTGGAGACTAGAAAGAAATGTACACATTTCTAAACAGTATGTAAAACCATACTGTTTACCTTTCTTGTAAAACAAAAAATATGACTGAATGAGAACAAGAGAAAAGTTATATTAAAAAGAAGTATAAAAAATGTAAAACAGGATTCTAGCCCTCTGACATTTCAATTAAAACTTCTTTCCAAAAAAAAAAAAAAAACAGAAACAAACAAAAAACAACAAGTGTAAACTGCATGTTGATGTGCATGACTTGAAATATTATTAAACTCATATAAATTCTCCAACATATAAACATAGGTACATTAAGGGCTGTTTCAGTTATCCACATGTGGCGCTGTGCGCAATAGAAGGTCCAATGGGACAGAAAGGAATGTAGAGTTGACTTTGGACAGACAGTGGGGCCTCTGTGTTGCTCACCTCTGTCGTGTGTAGATAGAAATGTCCATGTAGTGTGTATGTGTGAACTGTACGTGCATGTATACTGGTGTTTGCACGCAAACACACATATGGAATCCTTCTCTTTCATGTGCACTCACGAGCCCACACATGTGCCCCTTAGTGACCTGTGAAGGGATTAAACCACAGCAAGGCTCTACAGTATGGCTGTCAACCTGTCCTAAATACTCATGTGTGGGTGCACACATGCCCACGTACACACTCACACACACAAACAGTGTGGTTGTCATCCTGTCTTCCACATCTGTAACCTCTTCCACAGGCTTGCAGATGTTTCCTGAGACCAAAGTGTATGTGAACTAAAGCAAGAAGTGCACACTGTCAGAACTTTACTATCCTGTTCACTGTTAAGATTCTAACTCTAGAGGAAAAAAAAAAACAGGGAAACCAGTGGCAAACAGGAATAAAGGCCTGACTCAACACTAGAATCTGTATGAACTATCTTAACATCTGGCCTGTATGTCTTTTCAGTATAAGATACTCAGGCTAAGTCTAAGGAAACATCTTTTTTTAATTGTATTTACTATGGCATCATTGTGTTCTGTGGTTGTCAATTACTTAGGCCGTTTCTTTGTGAAGTCCTTGTTTTGTGATGGAAAGTAAAACTTTGAACTGAAATAAGAGATACAACTTTCTCATGTTTCAAATAAACAGACTTGCTGTCTGTGTTTTATATGATTTAGTGAATGATCATTGCTGGAACTTCTGCTGAAAATTTGCATCACAGCCATTTAGTTTCACACATGGTAACGGTGCCACCTAGAGGTGCATTTGCATGCTTTTACTATAATGAATGTGCCTGCACATGCTTAGAGTGAGTCTTCTACTATGAAGTGTTGCCATGCAATAATCAGATATTGGCCACTTTTTACATCACAGGATATATGGTTACACAGAGGTATTGTTAACCTTTACCAGTGCAATATAAAATACGGGTATTTTATTGTAAATCCTTTTCAATGAAAACTACAAAGTACACAATAATACAAATTATGGGAAATCCATTGAAAAGGAAAACTGCATACAAAATGTGTAATGGTGAATCATGAGCTCATTTCTGTTATGCTTCTCCCACACACTGTGATAACAAATTAGATGGCTGTTGTCAGCCTTAATTAAAATTCTGATTGTAGTTAGTTATTCTCTCTCTCTCTCTGAAATGCAACCATACACCTTGTCTTCCTTGTTGACTTTGTTGACTATTTTTCTGGCCTGCAGAGATAGGATGTCCCTCCTAGTGTGTAACAGTGTGTGTCAGCACTAACAGCACCTCTGGGGTAATAGAGAAGTTGCTATTGTGTGTCTCTATGTGTTCTGTATAGCAGAATATATTTGTGTGTGTCAGTGTGTTTTCATGCATCTCTTGGGGTACCCCAGCTGAAGCCAGCTGTATATCACTGCAGTCTCCCATGTATAACTTCAAAGTCGTAACATGCTCGGTTCCAGGCTTATTTATGACACAGTCACAGGAAGGGCATGTGGTAATGCTGGGCTTTGTGTAACACAACCTGGACATACATAAAAATCCTGCTCACCTTCCTACTGACTCTATGTTTGTCCTTCAAGGATATCATGTCAGTAAGTTTGTCAGTGAGTTTTGGATCTAAGAGGAACTAGAGAAATCTCTCTGGCCCTGGACACCAGAAACATATGGTACCTGCATGCCATGTGTCCTTCATGCAACTTAAAACTACAGTAAGATGCTTTGAAAACTGCCTTGCCACAGAGAATCTGACTCTGTTAAGTTCTATCTTTTTTTTTTTTTTTTGTTTAGTTCTGCCTGTAACCTTTGGATCATCTTGACTCAGAGTGCAGGTCTACTTGTGGTTCCTAGAGTCCACAGAAGCAGAATGGGAGGCAGAGCCTTTAGCTATCAAGCTCCTCTCCTATGGAACCAACTCCCAGTCTCGGTTTGGGAGGCAGACACCCTCTCTACCTTTAAGATTAGACTTAAGACGTTCCTTTTTGATAAAGCCTATAGTTAGGGCTGGATCAGGTGACCCTGAGCCTTCCCTTAGTTATGCTGCTATAGGCCTAGGCTGCTGGGGGGCCCCATGATGCTCTGAGTTTCTCTCCCCTCCCCTCCCCTCTC